CATAAGTTGTGCCATACCGGCGAAGAACGGAGAGCCGCCCCACGCCCCACCGAAGGAGTACATGCAGAACTTGATCGACACATACGGCCCAACGTGTATATCATCGAATCCGTCTGTTAATCCGACACCCGTTAAGATCGACCAATTGATCTGGTCAACGCGTTTCAGAACACATTCAGCCATCGCTGATCGCACCTTCGCGCGTCTTGGTGCCGCCATCCTTCTTGTCGGGGATGCAGCCCACATACATTCACCCGCTGGCGGGCAGGGCATGAATTTGGCCATCAGGGACGCGATTTTCCTTGGAGAGGCTGTCGCAAAGCACATCCAAGCATCTACAGGGAATCCCGATGTAGACGACACCATTTTACAGGAATTTGCGGGAGTGCGTCATGCGCGGGCGCTGGAAATCATCGGCTACACGAAGAAACTTCTGGGCCTTGCAGGCCTCCCGTATGATGTACGCACTTGGTGGATGCCGTTCAGCCAGGGGTCTCTGCGTGACCTGGTGCTAAGGATATTGGGCAGATTTGAGTTTGTGCAGTCGAGGATTGCGTGGGGCCTGAGTGGGCTTGGAAGACGGTAGTCGTGATTTCCACTTATCTGACTGCACTGTGTACACTATATCCGAGCTGATCAGGCGATCTACGTAGTCTTACACATTCCGCAGATACAGGGCCATCGACTATTGTTTCACTTTCGTCACTTTAGAGTATCTTAATAGATTTTCCTCCTTAATTAATTGCTCTTAGGCTGGGTTTTTAAATCTCACAAAACACACCCAAAATCTAATGATCTACAATGCAGTAGACGTGGTGCAACACACTCTTCAAATGCCAACCAATCACTGACCACTTTAAAGTCTAAGATCCAATGAGCAGGTTGTCAATGCCATATGACGTGAGGAACGAGACCTACCCAGTATGTTTTTGCACTGGAGAGGTAGACTCTCGATTGACATGGCTACCTCGATATCTTCATAACATTGCGGCACGGTAAATAGACGTTCAACATATGAGAAAATCAGACCGTTATGACTCCCAAACAACAGTTCTCGACAAGGCCCTCAGAAGACTGGTATGACCATGCTGAGCTTGTTGATAGTGTATGGAAAGCGATGAATCTATGTCGCTGGTGATAATAAGTCTTTCAGAAGTACGAAAATGAAACAATAAATTTACTGCGCATTCAGGTAGTTGAATCGCACAGTCAGAGAATCCGGAGAGTCAGGGTAGACTTTGTGTGCGGAGTCTCCGCACACAAAGACTCCTCACACAAAGTCTACCCTGACGAGCAGCTATCTAAGTTATATTAGATAGCTGTAGGGCCAAGTAAGCGCTATCATACCTCGCCTGCACCACATTACATTGCACATATGAACAAAGTCACCTTAGACAGATGGCATGTCTAAAACGTTGTTGGAAACGACCGGCTGACGGGGGCCATACGCCGTCGTCCGAACATTCATGTCAATCTGGAGATTCGGCAGGGACAGGAGTCCCATAGACTAGATTGTATTGTCCTACAGAGTACACTCTCGACAGCACAAAAATGGATTAAACATGAAAAAAAGATCATCAGCTGTAGTTCAATGTCTATCGTATCTTGTTACCATACCTGCGCAAAGACTCGTACCCGCTGATACCCCTTTGAGTACACGGGTCTGGACACCTGTAAGGGCCTTTTTGACGACTTTACGTTGAATTTGGGCTAGGTCTTCTATGTAACTCAAATAATGTAAGGCGGGGTCAGTGATGCTGTTTACTAATATTATTAACCGGAGCCAAAATATTTCCATATTATCTTTGAATCACACCCAACTTATCCTCGTCTCAAACCATGTCGACGTCTCGCTCGGCCAGTCCTGCTCCCAGCACCGACAAAGGGGAAGAGAAAGGAGTAGAGCAACGGTCGGAGGCGACACCTGAGTTCACTGGCGAGTCAACCTCCCCAGAGGCGTCTGCTGAACCTTCAGATAGAGACCAGGACTCCACTCCGGCTTCCGCTCACACTTCCCTTCCAACAGCGGGATCATGGCAAGCCATCTGGTCCCCTCAGCACAATACCTACTACTTCTACAACTCCGAAACCAAAGAAACGACATGGATCAATCCCCTTGAGCCAACCCCCTCCACCTCCACCTCTGAACCTGACCCCTCCTCGTCCCAACCCGGTCCGTCCTTAATAGACCCCCACTACGCGATGTTGCAAGCGAACGCGATGGCACAGGGTATTGATCCCTCCCTCGCGCATCTGGATCCGTCGCTTGCATCCTCGTCAGGTCTCCCCAGCAATTTCACATACACCGCCAAGTTCAATGCGCGGACGGGCACTTTTGCTAAAGCAGATAGTCGCGATCCTACTCATTTGTCAGAGTACGAGCGTGCTAAGCGCATGAGCGAGTTTTACTTTGATGTTGGTGCCTGGGAGAAGGATGTTGAGACTCGGAAGAGGGAGGAGGCGGAAGCGGAGGCGGAAGGAGAGGGAAGGAAGAGGAAACGGCCGACAAAGAAGGATTTGGTGAGATTAATTTTGTGTGATTGTGTTTCGTGTTGTGTTATTGATTTTTCATTCATAGGAGCGGTTCAAGGAACAGAAGAGATTAAAGAAGATCGCAAAGACTGCGTGGCTTCGAACATAGGCACCAGTACCCTAGTGTAGTATTACTGATAGAAGCACGAATCCAACAGCAGTCTGGCAAAAGTGTGCATTGAAGAAAGCTCAAGAGGTTGGATTGTCTGTAGTATGAGCGCTCAATATTCAATATTTAGTAGTAGTCTGAATCATGTTGGTTCTCGAGTTCTATGATGCCAGGTAATGGTCATGGGGTAAGTAACTGCCTCTCAAGTAAGTATATACTGCCACTTTGTAAGTGTCCGTTCTTATGCCTATTTTTCGACGATGCGCCGGTCCTATGTAGCGAATATGCCAATAATCTTGAAAGCTGGAACACTCCTCCCTTCCTCGCCAAGCAACACGCACTCGACATAGTGCGATCCTCTTGTAACATAGTGATCAATCACCGCAAGACTTAGACGACCCATCAATTACCCCGTGCATGAATGAAAGAATCAGGACACTCACGTAGGCACCCCATCACCAACGTCTCCTGCATTTTCGATGACCGTAGCGCCTGCAAAATTGTCGTCCACCCAACATTCAATCTCACTTCCTTCCCCAATTTGGTTCATGGGTTCCTTCAAGTAGTAGATCCCGACGTCTCCGGCGCCTACCTTGATAGGCACACGTAGCTTGCTCAACGGGATCGAGCTGGACCAGTAATAGCCAGCCGTAAGTAAAGGAGACGAGCCCGCCGGGGGATGCGTGGCTTGCCAACCAGAGCCGTAGAAAAGCGACGGAGGCACAGGGTTCACGAGATCATTAGCAGACGCACAAAACGGTGCGATTTCTTCGAATGGTCGCGGTTCTTTAGGACGTGTGCTAATCCGGACTGGAGGAATTCGCAGTTCCGGGTAGATCGGTATAGGCTGCGAATCTGCCGCTTGTGCAAGAGCTAGGGCATGTTTCTTATCGGCCACTGCGCCGTCATCAACAGGTCGTGGTAGCTCAGGCACCGCAGCGCCTTTCCTTGCTCCTACGCCACCAAAGAGATGTGTGTCTGCGCCTGGGTAGCCAGGTGCCATCATGATAGGGATGGTGTCGTACGAACGGCCCGCTGCCGTTGACCACGTTGCACATATCTGAGATTGGAAGTAGGAGACGAGAACGTCGGAGAGAATTTCGTGGCCAGCCACATTCGCGAGCAGAGAGTCTGCAAAGTAAGGTTTGATGAGGTCGGGGTTTGACATGTAAGAGGGATAGAGAATAGGTTTGATGCTATGCGTAGGCGTCAGAAATGATCCTATCGGATAAATAGTGATAACGTACCTAACATGTGGCACATCGTAGAACTGGGCAACTATGTCATGCCAATGGTCAGGTCCTGCAAAACCATGGGTAGTGTGCGTCTGTGGACTGAAATGCCCCAGAATGATGACTGCGGGCTGATCTGGGCGGTCCAATATAGAGCGAACCAACAGCTCAAAGTTTTCCATCCCGCGCTGCGAACTAGTAGAATTTAAACGCCATACAAACTTCGGTTAGAAACTTGTGCTTACGCTTCATCATCGACATCAAATTCAAGTATCACCAGATCGGTGTTCTCTGGGAGGTGATGGGAACTGCAAAAACCAAAGTAACCTGAGTTTGTACGCATCATAGCGCCATTGGTGAGTTGCGAGGCTGGGTGGGGGAAGACGCTCGACCACCACTGGAAAAAGCGCGAAGGATAACACCTGGCGGCTAAGGGATCACCTCCTGCACCATGACAGGCGGAAACTACACAAAATACATCAATGAGAGAGGATTTTCTGTCGAGATAAAAGCCCACATACTCGAACCACCCAACACGCTCATTGTCACTGGTTGACCCAATAGCGCCTTATGGATAACGCGGTGGACTCTTCCTCCGCTACCCAAATGCAGGCGGCTTTGAGCCAACGCTACGACACCATACTTCTCTGCAATCCCGTCGTTGGGACCAAATACAGGACAGAAGTCGAACGGGTTGGGAGTGTCTGATGCATTGCCGATAAGGTAGTTCGCATCATGAAGGTAGTTCTTTGGCACTAGGCCATCTGTGGTGAATGACCCCAGGTGAGGAGACTCCTGGGTTGAAGGCGAGATAAATCGCGAGAGCCCGAGGATTAATATGAATGCGAAGATGATAGCCCATATCCTGTTGGTGACGCCGAGCGCCCTCTGGTTCCACCTGTTGTTTGCTGAATCGGAGCCCATGCCGGTCAGTCTGTGTTGATTTGGAGGGGATATACGTGCCAGACCCTTCCCAAGGCCTGAGCGTCGTTGCATATATCGGTTCGAGGCTAAAAAGAAAGAGACCGTCCAGACAAGGATTCGAGACTATCCAAGGCTACCGAAATACTCGGTTCGGAGCTGACTGCCCTCTTAACGCCGTTGTTTGGTTTATGCAGGAAAATGAATGGACACTGTGGGATTTGAACCCACGACCTCACGCAATCTGCACTGTACAGTGCGATATGCGAAGCGTGCGCGCTACCAACTGTGCTAAGTGCCCTTGACCGGAAATCTTCCATAGCTCGATCCATACTCTCATCCCAATCCTGGTTCCCTAAGTGCATTGTCGCCCCATGTGTTTCTGGAGTCGTGTTGGAGTACGTAGTTCTAAAAGTTCGATAGCATAACCAAGTGCGTCGTCCGTCAAAAAGCAGCTACCTAAAGTCCCGACATGCAAGCCCAACGATTCGCCACGCATCAAAAAGCAGTTACACAATGTCCTGGTCAAATGTCCTGGTCCATGCTTCACAGGTCGCGAGGCTCCCTGTGATGCTTCACCTTCACAGCGTCCGCAGCCTGCGCACGTTCGGGCATGAACTCCCAGATGGGATCCACATCAGGCCCATCTATATCACCTGCTCCGTCCCAGCCCCAACACCACACTATACGATCTGTGAGATGGAGGGACAGGATGAAATGGCATAGCACTTACCATGCGATGGCCCAGGAGCGAAGTCTATTTCATCGCCCTCCTCCGGCGTGAACAATCGGTCATGAGGACCAAACCACGACCGGTCCTGTGGGTCTGTCCTCGGATTGTCCGGAAGACCCCCAAGACGAACAAACCCTCGGATGGCAGTAAGGTTCCGTCTTGAAGGATGAATGATATCGAATACTTTCTGTAAAAGAATCGATCAGTCATGTATTGGATTTCCACTTCCTTGTATATCGTACCTTATCATACGCGAGCTTGACCCGTGGCACCATCATGATGCGACCATATCCAGCCTCCCAATAATCATTACAGATCAAACTGCACTCTGAAGCGGAACATTCCTCTTCTGCAAGTCGGGCCATGCGGAACTTGATATATGGAGGCGAATAAAATGGAGCGGGGTCCAGCACTGCGATTCCATTCCAACATGACTGGACCTGTATGGGAAGATGCATTTGGAAACGGTCGGACGAGTATGGGTCATGGAAGACGTTTTCGAATGGGGCATTCTCTAGCGCCGTCCCGTTGATATCGCGAGCAACCCAGTTGTCATAAAAGACGGGCGCGGACTATACGGTAAAGGTAAAGTCGGTACGGTAAGAGCTCAGCCTGCAAAAAGCATTATTGACACATACCAGCTCCTTATGGTACATGTAATCCGCCGCGCATGTTATACCCGCATTATTCCGCCGACTCTGCCAGATGAGCTCAAGCAAGTCGTCTACGCATGGGAGGATATCGTTCATGAATATGATAGTGTCGAAATACTCGTTATGGGAGTCGCGCAACTCATGGAGGGGGTTGAACGCCTGGTTGCGAACCTCTGCGAGGTACTCTATACGGTGGTTGAAGGCACCTCGTGTACGTGTAGACGTTCGGATAGTGACGCGGAGGCCTACGCTGCGCGTCAGGGCGTCGAAAATACGGAGTAGCGCTTTGGTCTGGTCTGTCGAGCCATTCTCATATATGGAGACGTAAACGTTATGGTATCCCAGAATGGCAGACACCCGAAAGAGAGTGGCGAATAAGTCGGGGATGATATCAAAAGAGTTGTACAAGTTGATGGCGAAAAAATATTTGTGCTCGTTTGATGGGACGTTGTGTGCGGACTGGGAGTCAGAGAACCATGAAGAGAACCAGGTGGATTCGGAGGGTGTTTTGTGTCCCACGAGGGCTTTGTAACGGTCTCGGGCTTGTTGCATGTACAGCGGCTGAGAGTTTCGCGTGCATTCTGTCGTATGGTGCGGAGAAAGTGTGGATAGCAGGTCTATAACGCGACGACGTTGATCGACGTTTGGGAGGGTAAATTGTTTGCGAGCAGACAGCCGAGATACGAATATGGGATTGTTCCCTGTCGTCGACAAGAGCTACGAATCACAACGTTATGACAGTGGGAATGGTATAAGGGTAGAGAGACATACACCCGATGGAAGTGTTCTGCCTATCAGCAAACCAAATAGTAGCCCAACTATTAGTGCCAGAGGGGTTGGCACCCGTTTCAATTGTAGCCAAAACGAATTTGTTGGCTGCATGGTTGATGGGGAGATGGAAGGGGAGCTTGAGACTTTAGAATAGACGCGCAGACCACCGTGCTCAACAGCTCATAAACTCTTTCCTGGATGCCAATACAGGGCGGAACAGGGGCGTAGAATGACAGGTGTAGGCAGTTCTGAAGAAAAAGCCAAGCTTGGTCTGGGTGAGGCGATGACGGTCCTAAAGTGTGCAAGTTCAAGCTTCAAACTGATTCGGAAGCGAGTAAGATCGAGCGCTTGTACACACAGATTCAAATAAATAACCGGACATATGCAACCAGCAGAACGATTGTCTTTCCTCTGTCTCTAAAGGTCTGGCTAGCGCTACGGGAGACTAGAGGGAAGGAATACCTGCAGGGTTTTTGTATTGATAAGTATCCTATTTTACAGCCTAGGGCGTGGGCCACATATCCGTAAATATATCACCTCTGTCAGGCTCTAATAAATATACTCCAGCAGGGTACTTGTCCAGCGACGGGCAACCGCGCGCCAAATACTCGAAACGCTTGCATGATACGCAAGGGTGACACATCTGAAGATTCTGAACCGCTATCAGAAAGGAGTCAAATTTGAGTTCAAATAACGAGGATGGCCTGAGCCTGTGGCTGTCCAGTGTCGAAGTCGAAAATAAGAGAAGTGGAGATGGAATGACGAAGCTGGCACAGAATAGAATCTCATTCACCTCGGGCGAATGCAAGGAGGACAGTGTAAAAATTGGGCGGGTCCACAGAACACGACTCAGTTGGGGTAGGGCCCCTTGACATTCTGAAGTAGAGGGCATATGCCGAAGATATATCAAAGACGTACCTGGGTGAAAAAACTTCGATACGGGCCAAAACGCAGAGTCTACCGCTACTCTTCCGAAATTTGTCGGCCCCAAAAGATTTCGTCACTCTAAGAAACGAGCAATCAATCACCGCTCAAAATGCGCGCACGACCATTCAACGACCCCAGTCACCAATATTAGAGTCGAACAAATATTCAAATTTTATGGACATGCATGGTATTTAACACGACTCAGCCTTCTGTAGTGCAGAATGTGGATACAAAGTACCTTCCACACAGGTCACATCTCTCGAACAACCCATCCCAGTCCCATAAACTCACACCTACTACCTCGCCAGAAAGGCCTGCAAGTAGACCTGTTCATATACCGAAAGTCTGTCCATTACAACCATATTATTTGTCCTTGTCCGAGAGGGGGATGCGGGAGGACATGTCCTCCAGAATGCTTAGTACAGTAGACTTTCTCATAATGCATCACATTTGGGATAGTCCCACCGTGGGGCAGTGAGAAATTACAACATAATTATATGTACGTCGAAATATACTTCTTTCTGTTGAAACTTGAAAACGATAATTGATGCATGTACAGTACAATATGTCATAATGCATAACGTCGGGACCACCCAAATCCTTATGCATTATGAGATTTATGCATTAGAACATCGTGACATACTGTGA